GTCAAGAATGAAATGGAGGGGGAAGGCCTCTCTATAGGGCCGGGTGTATTGGGCTCTCTATAATACATGGACTGGGTGTATTGCGAGGATTGCATTGCAAAAGAAGATTCAGCTCAGTTTGCAAGGCCCTTGAAGCAGAACATGCATTTGAACATTTCTAATCGTTTTTTTCATAAGAGTTTTGGGATGAGTTCCCAAATGATCACAAACTCTCATCTGTTAGCTATAACAAAATGAAAAGCCAACTAGCTTTTTGGTAGCTAATTCTGACGTCAAGTAAAATTGAACTCTCAAAAAATTTACAAACATCTCCGGTGCTACATTTCAATAAAGAAAAGAGAATTTCATGTCTTTATTTCTAAATAGGTCGTGTTGCTGGGTATTAGTAACAGCTGAAGTGTTTTGTGCAGGCCTGATACATAACCTCCCCAGCTGAATTTCTTCCTGGTATATTAGTACATCAATCCAGATCAGGCAACATTAGAGAGATACAATGAAGTTGAACAAAAACATGCACACACAGAGAGATTTACCTCGGTGTTATCATGGTCAAATCGAACAACAAAGATGCACTTGCAGCCTGTTACGGCGTGTAGCCCCCTTTGGATATCCACAACATGGGCATCACAGTAGACAGCTTGATGTTCCCTTTCCTGTAAATAAGGTATTAAGTCTGAAAGAAAAGACAGTACATATATCTTCGGAGAGGTTTGCCTTATCAAAAGTATGCCTTCTGCAATATTTTGAACTCCGATATCTTCTGTCAAATGTTAATTTATAGAGGTTCCCATTTGTCTGGACCCCTACACTCATGATTGACAGCTTATGGGACAGATTGCAAAGAAATAAAGTAAAAGATTACCTGGAAGCTTAGCACTAGGTCCCCAACCTTCACCTTATGACACTCAGAGGCTTCTAAAGGAATAGACCGCTCACGCACTGCTCTTGTCACATTCACCCACTCATCATCCTCCCTACCGAAGCCAGAATATCGCACCCGAACTTCCTGTCACATAGAACAACATTGAACTCCTTTTCATACATCGGACAAACATAGTAAAATCTCTCATCAAGCAGAGACAACATTTGCAAGAATATCGAACCTAGTCTTTGAAAAATTAATGCCTGGTTGAAAATGAAAATTATCATGACTCTGAATGATGCAAATAAAGCACAGAGAACAAGACATAATGGAATATTTTACTGCTTTATTCTCAAGGAACTCTAATTAGAAAAGAGACCTAAGCTAAGAACTATGTTTACACCCAAATGGAGAAGAATGAACAATAACGAAAAGGACGAATCTTACAAGTTCTCCTGAATTAACAACTCTGTAAGAGAGGAATGAAGCAACATCATACCTGGAAACCAAAGAAATGTTAAGCTATGACTTTAGTGCAATTTGAATTGAAATGATAATAAACAATGTACAAATTTTCACATTGAATTTCTATTTTATCTCCAATTATTTAATTCCCAAAACATCTTGAGTTAATTTAAAGTAACAAAATATATTAGAGAATAAAGGAGTTTCCATACTTTAATCCACGAAAGTAAACTATTCGAAATGCAAAAAACATAACTACTTTGGCTGATTTCCTCACAAGTAAATTAGGTCAGTTCATTTTTCTTCCAGTTCAAGCATAATCAGGTTTGGCAATTTTCTTCTGAACCTGAGTTTGATTGCACTGCATTAGAACTACAATCACAAGTTATGGATCCGTCTGTAGTTTATAATTTACCTTTTCCCCCAGAAAAATGGTCTAGGAGAGCTAACGCAAAACAGAAAAGATTTGCGTAATGTATATTAAATGAAGCCATTGCATTATATGCTAAAATTACTTTTATAATAAACAGGGAATATACTCATGCCACATACCAACGAAGAATTGTTTCAAATGAAACATAAAAAATCAAGTATAATTTTCAAATACTTAATATGCAGAAACACATTATTGCACTTAAGAAAAAGAAGTTTTTTTTCCCTGAATAGATGAATTCTTACCATGCATCGTCTTTTGCTGATCGTGCTTCAAATGCTAACTCGTGGAGTTCTGTGATCCATTTACCTGAGTTAAAGTTATCAAGTAAATTTTTCAGAAAATTAATTATTGAACTCAGAGATAGATGGAAGATTCCCAATTCCACCAACATGCATGATTAAAATTTTGAGATTACGTGTTAAGCAATAAGTTCCTGTATCACAACTGTAAAATTCAATATTTATCATCACACAAGGACAGCATAAGCATTCTATACAACAGACAGACATGCCAAATAAATGTTGCAGGAGCACCTGCCCGTGAAAACTATGTCAGATGGTTGCCATCTAAAGAAGATAGCAGCAATAATGAGCCCAAAAGCCTGGAAAAGCGCCTTAAAATTTACGGCTGCACTATAGGCAGAGAGATAATAAGACATGGAGACACACAGCAAGAAAAGTTTTACACTAAGGTAAAAATATAGTGCATACAACTAATTAATATAAGCCAAAACAGATGTAAATTTGACCACAGATATTATCATGCTAGCAGAATCCAAGCCAATCAAGACAGAAAGTACAGCCCCTATCAGACCAAAAGTATAGTAACTGGGTTATGGAATGGAATTTATTGCATTTCAAAAACAGTATATAATTGTGCTTCTGAGAATGTATGATTTCTGGTCCACAAATAACATCATGTACACACGGCCAAGGACATTGCTACAAGGCCAGTGGTTAAAGCTTTATGGATGTTATTAATACTGTCAGCACCAGAAATTGATCAATTAGGTCATGGACATCAAGAATGACGAAGCTTTGCCCTTCTCTGCCAAGGTAGCACCAACATGCTACAATGGTTTTTGAAAGGATCCAAGCTGATATATGGAATGTAAAGAAATTAACAGTAATTTGCATCATTAAATTTTATTTATGTCAATTTGATGCTAGCATAGAAATAAATCTGACTGCATGATAAAATTAAAATTTTCATCACAGGGAAAAATCATTGAGTAAAATACATTCATGACAATCTTTTCTACAACTTCATCCATACTGACAAAAAGGATGACCTTTTGGCTTCTGAGAGTTTTCAGTTGCATTGCTTGAAACATTTGAATCTGAAAGATCAACAAATAACTCGAGCGCAGTAGGTGAGGAATTGCTATTGGCTTGCAACTCTTTTTGTTTGTTCTGGAACCAACTTTGAACCTATAACAAAATAAGAACATGATAGCATTACAACAAGCTCCATATGAAATATAAACAAGAAGATTTAGATGCAAGAGGGGAAAAGGAAAATTAAAAGAAAAACCTGTTCCCAAGTTATATCAGGTTTTCCAGCACGGATTGGAGTGCAACTGAAAAGACAGAGCAAAGCAAAAAACTTAATAAAAGAAACCCTGTTGTGTTGAAGTATGCAATGAATATTTAACTCAAAGTAGTTATTCTTTTCGTTTTTTCCTTTGAGAAGTAAATATAACAAATCTGCCTACCTAATTAAGGCTATAGGCTACTATTTAGCATTACTGAATTCACCTGAAACTCGTTGCAAGATCTTGGAAAAACTCCTGACTAAGCGACTGTTGTCGTGGGTGCTTAATTAAATTTTCCATTTCCATAATCTGTCAAGGTGCAAAATATAGTCAATATCTAATACAGAATTTCAAAAGACAATATTACAGAGTCAATGCATGGAGGCGAGCTCCCTAGACTGATTACTTCTTTGACTAATCTCTCCTGTTATTGTTCCAACCCCAAAAAGTATGAAGAGTATTTCAGCCACATGCCCTTTATCCCAATTAACTGTTCATGGAAAACCATTTCTCCTCAACCCACCTTGATGTAAGCTTATGTGTGTGTATACATATATATATATATATATATTATAATATATATGTTAAGGTGACATTGTGATATACATAACAAGCCAATCGAAAACACACACAGGTGTGAGAGAAAGCCTCAACCTTTCACATCAAATCCCATAATTTCTTTTGGTCTGATTATATTTCCAAAAATTCAGAAGTAAAAAAATGCACCTAGAAGGGTGTTATGATACAAAACTAAATTTTCCATAAGAAGCAAAAGTCCAACACCAACAATCTTCATATAGAAAATAACCAATTATAGAAAACAAAAAAAAACCCATGACAGCGGCTAAATTTATAGCAAAACTGAGGAAATTTCTGCAGATTAAGATGTGAAATCACAGAGGCAGGTAGTTGACAGTACCAATTGAAGGAAACACAAAAAGGGATCAAATTTTTTTACCTCAGAATGAGTGAATACAGATAGAGAATTCATTGGTTCTCTTTTTCTTGTACGAAAAAGTTCCATGTCCATCTCTGTCGAACTGGAGATTTTAAATTCCAATTTGATGTAAAATGAGAGTGAGATGAGAGTGATGCCAGTTACCTTTTTCTCTGGGTTTTTGTGTGTAAGTCTCAACTCAACTCCCAAGGGAGGTTTTGAAAGAAGTCTGGGTTCACTGCTGCTACGATGTCTTCGGCTCTTTGATCCAGTGGCCAATTGAAAGCTGCCACAGCAACTGAAAACCTGTCTTCTGTTGTGGTTTTTTTCCTTTAAAAATCTATTTGTTTCTTTAATTGGAAATTGTTTTTCTTTTTCCATAACTAAACGAGAAGAGATGACGTGGCATAAGCCCATTGAGCCCAATTTTGGGCCTAAAAGCAAAAGTAACCAGACCCAAAGCTAAAATTAAACCGATGGACCTCAAGAAGCCCAAGGTCGTGGCACAACGAGCTCGGCCCAAGAAACAAGGCTTGACCCTGGTCACAAATTGGGCCCAAAGCTGCAGCCTAATACCAAAAGTAAAAACTTACCAGTCAAGGCCCGATGATTTCACGGCCGAGCAGACTGGTAGGCACAAACTCCTTTGAGCCTTCACGTGCATTGTCTCAATAACACCTTAGAGCACAAAGCAAAAGGAATGATGGGACGTCAAACCACTTTTTGAAACTTGAAGATCGGAGCAGAACCCTCGACCCGACAAGCAACTACTTCCCAAAATATACTTAATTACCCTTACTTAATTAACTTGCATGAAACATGAGCAATACTAATTCAAAACATTATCACGGTTAATTATGAAGGAAACATGCATTTAAATTTAAATTCACTGAATTTTAGGCTACAACATACATGAATCAAATATTCAAAGAGGTAGAAGCGAATTTAAGTTCTTATTAAGCCAATATTATTCAATTTCCCAAGTATCTTTCTAGCTCTAATATCATCTGTGCCTAAAGGAAAAGGGAGGAAATGATGAAGCTTTCTTACCCTCGAAGCTCTCTTGGATTGTCTCAAAGTTTCCACTTTTATAAAGACATTCTTCCTTGTTGCTTGCTTCATAGATTCTTCACAAGGTACCAAAGTAGATATCCTCTAGTTCATACACACAAATGTAATGTAAGAGATAAAAAAAGATTACCAAGAGGAGGTTAGGTGCTAGCCCTCTCCTCTTGGCGGCTGATTCTAGCATGGCATAGTGGACATTTCTCTCCTCCCAAACCCACTTCAAAGTTGAAGGCTTCAAACCTTAGAGAGAAAATGGCTAAAATATGTCTTATATAGGCCACAAGAGATGAAGCAAAAAAACCCCACCTTAGAATTTCGGCCATGGTAATGTTTGGGCTCCTTTTGGGCTCACTTGAATTGTATTGTCATATAACACTTGTTCCTAGGCCTAATAGGTCTTTGCGTATTTTTTCTTTTGCTCCAAAATGACTTTAAAGCCCAAACCGAGTCCACCGTTAAACAAAATCTATAATTAATAATTTAATTATGATTTGTAACTTAACCATTAAGTTCAAATTATAGTCCAAATAATTGGATTTGGTCAACTGTTTTGGTCAAATGCGTTGACTATGACTTTGACCATTGACTTGACTTTGACCGTTGACTTTGATAGTTACTTTCAACGTCATATCTTCTTCATTTGTTCCTCTTATTATATTTATAGGTGTGCGATCGCATAGGTTCCAATTAGCAATGCAGTGGGTAGGTCCAATTCCTCCGAACCGAGCATGAATTAAATCCCATCATTTAATTCTCTCTATTGGTGAAGATTAAGCATAACTAGATTTTACAGGGCTTCCACGTTTGGTGGGTGGAACTAGATTGGACTATTTCAATTAAAATGGACAACAGTTCTGGCCGTTGTTAGGTTCGCTGGACTGGACTTATTAAAATGGACAACAATCCAACATATTGTATCTTACAAGTTACAAGTCTCACCTAAAATGGTGGAACTAATAAAAACTGGCAAAAAAAAAAATGTATATAGTACTGTCGAAAGCTTTGTAGTAGAAAACAGATCACAAATAGACCTTTTACCAAAGGAGAGTAAAATGTTGTCCATTTTTTGAGGAACAAATGTGTATAATAATCCTTACTAACTGCCAATAAATATTTACAACATACATCAGAAATTTCTGTAGAAGTACACTAAAAATTGGTAGACAAGAGTTAAAAATATGGCCATTATAGCTTGTTCACCAAGTGATATAGTCTTTTCCTTGTTGCTTTGGGAGTTTGAAATAAAGGTTGGAGGAGAATAGAGAAAAGCCATTGAGATGCAGTCCTCCTCACCTTTAAAGATTGGCCTTCCTATCACATGCTTATACTGGCCACCACTCCATGCCTGCAAGAGAACAAAGCAAACAGTTCATACATGTACAGTAATATTCGATTAAGAGACAGTCTGGTGTATGTTCGCTTACAAGACAGTCTGACATCTTATGTTGCTAGACTAACAATGCAAACCCCCTCTCCAAGTAAACACTCACTTAATAAATAATTTAAATAATTTAAATTGAAAATTTAACAACATAATATTACGCATAATTTGATAAGAGAAGATATTTCTACTTTATATTAAAACATTTTTCGCCCTATGATTAGACCATCTCCACATAGGTGGCATTGGATATAAAATATACAAAGCAATGATGGTTGAAGATACTAATCGCCATGATGGTGGGCTTGCAGCCATCATATGCCTCTGCTACATTGCAAGGGAGAACATGACTTTAGTGCAACTTTTACACAACTTTAAAAACACTGTAAATAGAAACTAAAGCAATAGGCCATCTGGGGAGGCAAAGTAATTATCTTGGTGGCTTTATTATTAGATTAACTGGTCTCCCTTGGTCCCAGTAAATAACAATAACCAAAGTTAAATTTAATTTACCTGTATTTGATCCCCAGTGGTGACTACTAGAGCATTTTTGTCTGGGGTAAAAGAAACCCAACCTTTCTTGGAGTAAACATGGAACTCTGAAGAACCATCACAAAGATGCAAACACAAGGCATGAGAATAATCAGTTCCTCTAATCAACATCTTAATCACATCATATCTTAAAGAGCTGTCCCATTCATCTTCTAAAACATTTTGGCTGTGCTTGTACAGGCAACAGACTGTCCCAAGTTCTTTCCCTTGCACCATATCATCATTTCCATAAACAAATTTTGTTTGAGAATTTTTCCATAAGCTTGGTAGGATTTTCCTAGAAACCTTCTCTATATTTGCCATTAGGGTCTCCAGTTTCTCACTGCAAAATCAAGGAGTTCGGAGCTGTAATCCTAATTGGTTTCATAAAAACAAACAAAAGCCAATTAATTGCATTTATTTGTTAATTACCTGAAATTTGAATATCCAATTGGTGCAATTCTCTCCATTGTCAACTTCAAACCTTGGTCTCTACACCAAACAAACTCTTCACTAAGTTCACTGCCAGCCTCCTCACCATGAACCTCCTCGAACCCGTATGGCTTCTCCGGTAACCGGGTTATCTCCGCCCTCTTCTCCGGCGGTACCTGGAAGATTCCGGTGGCTGCAGCCTGCACAGAGCTCACAAGCTCACTTGAAATTCCATGGTTCACCAGCTGAAAACACCCGTTTCTTGCTATGGACTCCACAACCTTGCAAAGACTAGCATCAAACTCATCCAGATTCAATGCTAACAAATCAATGGTGGGGGGATTTTCAAGTGAATTTTGTTTAGGGAAGAACTTGTCTGGCAAAATGAGGTCAGGGACTTGGAGGGAGTGCTCGAGGTATTCAGTGAGGACTTCATCGTTTGTGACTAATGATCGGCGGCCTGAGGCAATGGGAGAAGGCGGTGGGGCACGAAAATCAATCGGGTTTTCAGAGACGGGTTGAGGAGAGGCTGCCATTGGAACTAAACTAGAGGGGAGTGATGTAAAGAAGCCCACTTGTTCTACTTCTTCTTGTGTACATGTACTCTTCTATGGCTATGCATCTTTATATTTCTTTTCTTGTTGCTAAAGAAAAAGAAAAAAAGAAAAAGGAAAAAAGGAGCAAGGAGCAGCAATGATGACATGTCTTGGGGTTGAGCTACATCCCTCCCAAGAATGATCAATGATCAACACAAGGTCTTTCACTTTTTGGGATTTGCTTTTCTTTTCTATTGTTCTCACTTTCTTTACAGCTCCATTGTTAATCATCACCTCCCTGGTTTTCTCTTTTGTGGCATTTGCCAGACTTTTGGTGAGGGACCTTCATCTCACATAACAACAGATATGTAGGTGTTGTGGTTCTACTGTTTGTACGAGAATTACTATTGTTTTTGGCCAATGATGTTAAGTTTCAATTTCAAAATCAATCTGGATCGACAGAGGTGTATATGCTGTGATTCTATTATTTGTCCAAAAATCATTGATTTTGTTTCCCTCTTTTTGTTCGCAAAATTCTGTAGTGAGAGTGCCATATACAAACTATAGATGTGGATCTTCATATTAAGCGAATGATGAATTCATTCATCCTTGAACCCTGAACGACTCCTCTTGTTCAATGAGTCGAAAAATATATGCTTATTTTTGGGCTGACCAACCAGTTTGTCTGATTCAATGGGTTACAACTTGGCTCAAGCCCATCAATGGATTGGGCTGACCCAACCCACCCAACCCGAGTTTGGGCCTTAATTTTGCACTGTTGCATATGTAGTAATATGTTAATACAAAATTGCAAGAGTTTCTAGAGGTATCTTTTTGTCACTGCCGCCTCCAAACACGACCTTATACACACCAAAATAATCAGTACTTTCCTTACCAACATAATCAGAAGACGAAGACGCCAAGGACATGAGTTGTATGTGGATGCATAAGCATCTTCTTTCAAACATTATGTTCTACAAGGGTGATGTCTGCGGCAGGCTTCAATGGTTTCATTTTTCTTAGTTTATATTATCATTTAGAGCTTGATAATGTTATGACTTATGGGCATAATTTGATTTTTGGTATGAGATATTGTGGGGATATATGACACTTTCTGCTTTTTTCCTTGTCTAATATAGCACATGTTGCTATCAAATGTCTTTCTGGTCTTCAAGTGTACACACGACATGTTAAATTTGTTACTTCCAAATGAAAGCTTCGGTTCAAGTCTTGACAATCATCAATAAATATATTATGCCTCGTCATATTTTTAGAGAATCATTTAAGCACAATTCAAACAAAATACGTCTGATATAGATATTTAAACTAATGCTTACGTCTACTTTTTCTTATATAAGTAATATT